TAACGAAGTTTCGTAATCTCCAAATCTCACAGGTGATCCTTGGCATTCTAGTTCAAACTGCCTCCTGATATTACTAAAAGGAGATGGTTAGATTAGCCCTTTTTTTCTCTCTTTGCCTGTTGCTCAGTTACGATTTATTTTATCTCACTTTCTCATTCACTTGATTTATCTTTAATTCAACTGCTTGAACATCGGGTGAATATTAATCACAATACAGCCACATTTCATAGATAATTTTTCATCCGCAGTTGGTTTTTAACCAATCACCAAACAAAAGATAATTATAAACTCACGGTGAAATCCGTGTTACTTTTACATCCACGAAATGCCTATACCTGCACGTGAGTTCCCCTCTCCCGTTTACCAAAACAGAATATCAATCTCATTCGTAATCTATGTTGATTAGACGCTGAACGTTATATCAAGCGAAACAACTACAACAACGACAACAACAACGTGCATCGACATTCTCTCGCACAGAGTGCAGCAATATCGTTATTAGATGAAAGTGAAATTGGAAAATGCATTGATAGGAATTTCATGTCTCCTCTACTTGTATACGGATAAGCATTTAGAGTTGATATGATTTACATACATTATGTAGACGAAATGAATGTGATTGTATGCATAATCTTACACATGGAAAATGTAAAAAGCTAACAATGAAAGAATAATCACTCAGTTTCATTCATGTATGCATGTAGAGGCATGATTTTCTTTTATTTCCGTATCATGGAGAGAAAAAAAACCGTTCACTTTCTCGCTAGGTAATTATTCTCCTTAATACATGGAAGATTGGCCGCATTGGGCGAGACAAGATTGAAGAGCAGCCAATTTTCTCTGAACATTCATGAGTAAAATTTGAGTAACTCTTTTCTCATTTTTTGTGTGAAGAATCTGGCTTGACTGTAATGGGACGTAGATTGTGCTTCAATCCCTCCCCTGCTGTCAAAAACGGTGATTTGAAAGATGTGATTGGATGTGGGATGAAGCAGAAGAAAAATGAGAATGGGCCGTGAAACCAGACACTGATGATCAAAACGGAGGAAATCTGAGAAGCGCATTATTTGGCAGCTTATTGAATAATTGAAAGGATAAAGGTAGTCAAGGAACCCACATTGGACTTCACGTTTTTCAGGAAATCTTGGTTGCCATAGTAACATAGCTGCTCGTAACTCAGGGCGTCATTACGAGCATCCCATGAAATATCAGCTCTATCCTTGCCCGTTTCCTTTGTACTCGCAAATATCAAATGTTTGCATAACAAACGAATAATCAATCGAAGTAGCGATACGAAGCCCAGGCACAATTTTAATAATACATTATAAAACGCAGAAGTAGAGCATTCCCCATGAATTGTATTTTTGTTTTAATCTAGACTTCCTTTTTCTCATCTTAAATTACTTTTTCAGGTTTCATTCTTTCCTGATCAATTCTTTCTTCCTCATCTCATGAAACTTTTCTTCTGGAATAAAAACATAAAATAGAAAATGTTCCGAAAACATACAGCAAAAAACACCTTCAATAAAATAGCACAGCACAATATGTACTATATCATTAAACACAGGATAGTATAATCATCTATATAAGAAGCCTGCGTCGAGGTTAAAGGAGGGGGGGGGGACAAACTTGCCAATTTAAAAAAAAAATCATGGTTCATTTGACCTTCAATGCTGATTTTTAGAAAAGAATCTAAAAGATTGCTTTATGACTGCAAGCCAGTATGTAGATCAAGTCTTCTTTGCGATCTGATCCAAATAACGACAGGAGGAAATGACAAGTATAAGGCGATGATCAAATTTGTGACAAAGAGCATCTGCGAGTTGGCTGCTAAGGGATTGGAAGAGAATGTGTCGTAGAGGGCCATATTACATGATGTTTACAGGGAATTTTGCCTTTTATGAAATCAAGCTTGTGCTCGGGTTTGTTAAACGCCCGAAATATCAATTTGTAAGAATGTTGTCCTACTTGACTTTTTTAGAATCATGAATGTACAGGAAATTAGAGATTATAACCTTTTGAACAACATACGAATAATAACAATATTAACGATACAAACACATCGTAGATATCATAATCTAATCAAATATCTGGTCGTGCCTATAATTTCATCTAATTTAAAAAAACTCCTTTCAGTTCTCTTTAATATATCTAAATAAATTAATCATTGTCAAATTTATTTTATTCAATGAACAGTGTCAACGTGAAATACGTAACTTTATTAAAAAAAACAATCAACCTCGCGAACATGTTGACATATTTCCTATGAATATGAATACTATAATACAATTAAAACAAATAATTATCTGCCCTCTCCCTTTCCAGACACGTTTGATTTCAAAATCAAACTAAAACAGGCTATGATAAATTTATTCACCTAGACTACAATATTTTCAAAAGGTCATGAACGGATACGCAAAATATGCAGTTCATATTACGTGCTTTGTAAAAAAAAAAATCGGGTAGAAAAGAAATGTCTCATATCAAATCTCGCTGCACCTCAAATTAATCAACTCAACTCTGCTATTTGTACGAGGTCTTTGGAGGAAATAAATACCCTTTATGTTAATCGTGTCCCCGTATCCCCATGGATATGCATCCAATGTTTAGCTCTCCTTACAGATTGTGTATCTTACTGCAGAGATCAGAATAGAATAATACATTAAGGGGTTCGTCAATGGGTAATTTAACTAATGAACAACGCTCGTTTTTATTATCCTGCCTTCATTGTTCTGCGTCTTATTCGAAAATGCCAAGGTGATTTAGAATCATGGATATAGATAAGTTAATGCTTTTGTACCGCTGTTAACTTACGGCTGCATTAAGAGCCACAGAGGTTAATTTATTCACAAAACACTTCTTCTTGCCCTTACCTCTCAACTTTATACTTTCCTTTTCTCCCTTTTGTTAAGTGGTATAAACCCCCTTCCCTTCATTCGTTTACCATGTTCTTCAATGCATACGAATTAATATTGATTTACTCCATATAGTATTATATCATAATATTATTAATACAATTTATAAGAAATGTTTTCTCTCTCTTTATAATACACAATTTATTTTAAGACCAAATCTCTCATATCAGAATGCAATGCATTTTTTAAGCAGCCTATGTGATTATTACTTGCGTGCCTGGAGTATTCAATTGTCAAGCCTTACTGGCTTTTATGTATGCATCATTTCCATTTCTACAATGATTTACACTTTCATATTTTCTTTTTATTTTGAATGTTATTATGTCAAATTCTGTATATTGTGCTAATGGAAATAAATTTAATTTCAAATTCAAATAATATATAACTGTTAAAGTTAAGTACTAGGCTATACCTGCACAACCTACATGTATATGCGATTTCAGTATTTTGTGGTACTGCCATTCATCTATATAATTAATCGGGGAGAAAAAAAATGGAAGAACTCGTTCATCGATTTTGATTTTGCTTTAGCGTTTTCATTTAATGAATAACAATGTACATTCTATGGTAATGTAATAATTTCTAATCTGATTTCACAGGAAAGGGAGCTTAAAACATTGATGTCTTCTTCATTCAAAATGAGGTTTCAACATTGATGTTGGCGAGCACATTTTAAAGTCAGCGAGTAGCCGTTCGTTTCCGAGAACATAATTGTTGGTGCTGATCTTTTGGTCACTCTAGAACACATCCGTAGAGCGCGATTTAGGATTTACGTGTAAGTATTTTTTCCACGGGTATGACATTTATCCACAAGAGTTCACCTTTAACAGTACATTATTCCAAGAATTTATGAATTTATTTTCATGGCAGAAAGCACCGCTGGCAAGGCTGTAAACTACCACACATAAATCATGATTCATAATTCATGACAAATGGAAGCTCCCTTAACCCGACTCTTGTGCCCAGTCCAAGAAGAAAATATCGGCTTAGAGATTCCAGATGACGTCCCTGTTAGGAAGGAAAATTGGTTAAACATGCTTATATCCTGTTCATAATATTGACCTCTTCGTCTTGATTCCCTTCTAGTGCCTTCAAGAGAAATGCAAACGTTTAACTAAACTAAATATAATATTTACTCGGTTAAGTACCGAGGCACGGTGGATTTCTGGGTCTCCCTGCTGATTTCTGTCTTTCCTGGGCAGAACTTCTTCTCACTCCGGGGTATTTCTTTTAAATGGCACAGGACTGTCACAAATGCGCGGTCACGACCTGGAGGGAACTAAATCCCAAACGCATGATTCCGTGTATTTTTTGTTTCACGCTTCTCATACCTGTTCAATGTACATTCACGTTCAGTTCAAGAAAAAATGCACGCTGTCGTTGCTCTTTTAAAAGTAACAAACGTGACTCTCCTTTTAATATCATGATACTCTAACGATGTTTTAGGTGCAAGGTTTTGTTTCATTTGTCTTCCCTCCTGCTTGGTAAGTGCTGTAAATGACTGTTTTCACCTCCAAGTCATGGTCAAATTTATTGCTTTGCCAATTACAGGAACGTTTAAAGACTGAGTTAATATTGAACGGGACTTAGTTTGAAAACAAAACGTGTCAGGGGAAGGAATAGCGAAAGAGAGAGAGAGAGAGAGAAGGAGAGACAGAGAGAGACGGAGACAGAGAGGGGAAGAGCAGTGAAGAATGGAGAATGGAAGAAAATGCGGGAGCTAGAGAGGAAGCAAAATACGAGACAAAGAGAGGCAGAGGTGAGGAAAGGGGAGATGTTAACAAGTAAGTTTCATCGAAAAGATGGGTTGTGGTTAGAAAACGAAAAAAACACTCAAATTGAACGAGGAATAATGAGAGAAAGATGAGAGAAAGAAAGCACAGGTGGTACAGAATGAAGAAAGAAAGAAGGATGTCGGTCAGGTAGGATGTGAGCGAGGCCGGGATTCCGCATACCATCCGATTTTGTTTGTATTTTTGTGTGCGTGTGTGGTGGTGTGTGTGCGGGTGTGCGCGCGTGTGTATGCGCGTGGATTTATTTTGCGTGAGTGATCGTGCGCTTCTATTTGTTCGTTTGTTTGCTTGGTTTTTTTTTTTGAAGGGAATTTCTTAATCAGATATGATTTTTGACGTCTTGGGCTTGGGGACCAACTGGCATGTGTTTGTAGCCTTATTTTCTCTGCAGAGTTTCGTAAATATCCGGGAATTCTTGCAGCAAAGTTGTGTCGGGCATGGAGATTTTAGATAATTTCATTTTACTTTAATTACGAGCTACGTCGTAGGTTATCGCAAAGCATCGTAGAGAATCTCAGCAGGATCGCACCGTATAAAATGTGCCCGTTTTTCAGATAGAGATAGAAAAAAGGAATTGGAATGAACCTCAAATAACGAGAGAGAAAGAGAGGGAGATTATACATTCTTGGTACAACAAAGTAGAGATAAAATACTCATGTAGCAAAACGAATTGATAGTGATCAGAATCAAAATATATTGGCCTATTTTTTTATTTCTTGGAATTGATGAGCATCATCTAATGTGACGATGGAAAGAAAGAATATTATGGATGTGGTTATGGAAATAATGTTTTTCGTTAGTCTCCCATGATTGCGGATATACTTGAAATATTCATCATGGTAATACCCAAACGACTTCATTTATATTCATTAAAAACGAGCCTTTACTCCGATGCTAGATTTCTCGAAAGGATTCGTAGTAATCGAGATGATTGAGTTTCTCTGACTTTTTTATATTATTGTTTCCTCCAGCTATACGGACGCAATATTAGGGTTTGTGGACACAAGAAAAGGTTTCACAGCGTTTTTCACTCAATGTATTTTTGCAAGATTGAGAAGGTATGGGTATATTTCCCGCGCTGTTTATTTTCCAGAGTACGCGTTAATAAAGAACTCATATCCCATATCGTATTATCCATGACGCCAAGAATATCGGGTGTCATTGCGGTAGAATATGGCTAATTGAAACACGAGACACAGAAACGTAAACAACGGAATGTAATTTGTCATATTTTGTAATGTTTCGCATCAACATGTTATCATAACTGTTGCCAAAGAAGAGAGGATTGATAAAGTGTGGTCTACGACGGCTTTATACTTAGTAACCGGTCAGACAGAACATATCGATTACTATACTCACCGCGGGTATAAGGCGTCACATCCCTCTCTAACAGTTCGACGTATCTCTCATCACTGTAGTCGAATTCATTAAAAGGTTGAAACGTCAAGTTCAACCCGTACCCTCCCCCACTGGCCTTCTCCAACATGTCATACACACCACCAGCCATAAAGACTTCATCCTTGATGTGGGCGTCACCGTCGTGGAAGACTATTACCCCTCTCTTCCACTCATAGATCTTCCATAGGGCGGCCACGAAGTGGGCAAGTTTACGGTGTGGTGGCTTTAGGTTGGTGATCAGTTTATACTGGTCAAAGTCATCATAACCTGATGCTTGCCCTCCAGCTGTGATGAGGGGTAGATTCCATCTGGTCGAGAATCTACCAACCGGGGCCAAGGCGTACTCGCACACCGGTCCAAAGAAGGCCATCACTTTGTGGATATACATCATATCAATAGCGGCGAATTGGGCAGTGTTCAACCAGCATTCAGTATCGTCGACAATCAAGCTTATGTTATTAGGAACGACGAGTGTCGTATTCTTGACTTTTTCCAGAGCAATACGCATAGCTGGCACCACCATCTGAAGGTGATAAGGGTAATGTCTTCCAGCGACCAACCAGGGCTTCGAACCTCGGGTAGACGGTAAAGGATACCTCGGTAACATAATAGCAATGTTAATAGGCTCATCCGGTGGTAGAGATCTAGAAACAGATAGATTCACGTTTAACAGGACAACAAAAAAGACGAAAAGCTTGATATCAACAAGGAGCCAAGGAAAAATCAAAGCCTTCAATTCCATCATCGTGTATTCCTTTTCCTTCAGATAAAATACAATGTGGATAAAATCAAAACATGTGAAGCAGTATTGCAGAGAAATGTCTCGTGTGACATTGAAATAAATGATCTCCCCCGTTCACAGAAAGGTTTAATAGTGGAAAAGTAGATTGGATTGTAGCAAGCCAGGCACATGAGGGCGTATAACAACTTAACTCCCAGCACAACCAACAGATGAGCTCGAAATAAGTCTTGTATATCAGACACTGATCGATATCGAGAGAAAATACAACTAGCAGAAATGGATAGGAAGGGAGGATACAAATAGAAAGAAGAGAATTACCGGAAATGAGAAATAGAGAGGGACAGAAACAGAGAGAGCAGGAAAGAGGGAGAACGAGCGGAAGAGATAGGGAGAGAGAGAGAGGGGAGATAGAGAGGGAGAGAGAGCGAAGCGTAAATAATGAATGGTCTTGAGTGATAGTGAACGTTATTATACTTTTCTCATCTCCATAAATTGTCACCCGTAGGTTATATTCCTTAATGCTTAAAATTTATTGAGAAGGTCACTACTTGAACTACTTTAAAGGTAAGTCCAACATGATACAAAGTTGGTTTTAATTCAATTTTTAAAAATCAATACAAAATGATAGAACCAGAGTAAACGTTGCATTGATTACAACAGTAGGAATACATAACTTGCTTATTTTCTGTCGGATCCTCTTAAACTTTCAGTGGTCCGTAAACAGACAAATAACTCAATGTCAGAGTGTACTTCCCTTCCCTTAATAACAGGAGTGTGATATCCTTGATACTGTTATTGTATCGTTATGATCGTTGTATGAATCTTCGTATGCTTCTTCATCCTATTACGTTCACGTCATTTATTTGGTGGATGTAGAAGATTTATGGTCTTTATCTTCCGGGCAAATTGCGCTTCTTTTTGATATCGCGTTGATTTTCTGTAGGCCATGGATATATATATTAATGGATATTGGAATTAACGGATCGTAAGATTGAGCCTTATCATGGTTATGTAAATTGGTATCTTCGAAGAAATATAAAAGACAGATGAGATCCATTGGAAAAGAGGATATCTGTATATAGATGACATTATGTAGACTGTGGCAACTTCAATAATACGGTATTATGATGATGCCAATGTTGGTGATTGCGGTAAGGTTATTAGTTTAGCAATCAAGGAAGATAATCATACAATGTTCCGGTTAATACGTTGGCCAATGGCAAAAGATGGGCAAGAGAGCATTTCAAACACTCATGAAAATCCACCAAAAACCACCTACATGGAATTGCTTAGTGGCTGAAAAAATCAGATGATGACTTGTATCCTTTCATTATTTTTATGTTGTTCTTAATTAGATGATACAGTATTCATAGATATTTGAGACGACATTGAATTTCCTGCATCATAATTGGCACCTTTATCCTTCCGGAAATGTTCTCATCATCAATCAATCACGCCTTCTTCATACATTAATATTATTGTTTTCGATTTGAAGCATCGCCATTGTCTTATACTTTATAGTTTTAACACTCGTCGCTAAAAGATACAATCGCGCATTTAATACCAGTATTTATTTTATATAATATACGTACAAACAAATAAATGTACAGTATATGAATATGTACAAACAAACTCGAAAATACGCCGGAAAGGGTGCACAATCGGGGAGGGGCAAATGCGCTCTCGCAATCTTTTGTTACGTTAGGGTGATCTATATCTGGTATAACTTGTATTGGCTGGATGTGTTGTGTGAGAGTGTTTTATGATACGGCGTAACCAAAGCTAATCCCGCATTACCTTCTTTGTCTGTTTGTCGGCCTTGATTAAAAAAGCTACTGGTCCAGTTGTCAGAATATATATTATGTAGAAGCAATGAGCAGCTGAATAGATTAAAGAAAAATATAGACTACCCCAAGAGAAAAAACATCCAAACACAGAATTGACACAAACATTTCCTCAGAATACTCTGATGCCTAGTGTAACATTGACTTGAACAGGCGACCCACGTGTTGAAATTAGCTAGCTAAAGGGCAATGGTTTATTGGGGTTATAATTCGTTCTAGCTTTCCTACTTGAAGAGTCACTTCTAGCACCGCACTACACACGGTAAAAGAAAAATAAATGTACGCCCACGTCGTATGGCTAGTTCAATAATTTGAAATGGTGAATAACGTGACACAAATGTCAGTCTTCAGTTAATGGGGATAGAACGCATATTTATGTAAGTGTTATAAATAGCTATCAGTCAAAGGCAATAAAGCAGCAACAACTTGTTCTTGGTCCTGATACGATTTCATTTTGTCAAACATTATTGGACCAGCTTCTTGTCACCATCCCGTCTGCTTTTTGAAGACATCCCGGGTACAATCAATGAACTGTCTGAAATAGATTTTACTTTTATAATTTTAATATTTTTACATATGAGCTTGATAAAACAATACTGATGAAATTTCTTTCTAATGGATTATTTTAGAGCGGGGTAAAAACTGCACAGTATAGAGCATGGAACGGCAATAATGCGATGTTAGCACATTTACTATAATTTGTTTCGTGGTCCGGGAAAGGAATAAAGTGATAGAACGATAAACCCCAGATGGGTACTCAACAAGCTCGTCCCCTTCTCCAGTATTGCCTGAAGATAACACGTTGAATATGACGCATGCATATCCTAATGTATATTTACATTGAAACTGTCATTTTATGGTGAAAACAAAAAACAACTCAAACAGCATTAGATTTATCTTCATCTATGTTTACCCGTTACCACCTTCTCTCCCTCTCCCTCTCCCTCTCTATCTTTTCCCTCTATTTTTCCCAACTTCCTCTCCCAACTTCCTTTCCCCCATCTCTCTCAATCTATATTTCTTTCTTTCTCTCTCTTTCTTTCTTTCTCTCTCTCTCTCTTTATCTATCTCTCCCCCGTCCTCCCTCTGTCTCTCTGAATATCTCCGTTTTCCCAGTCTCTATGATTCTCTCTCTCTCTCTCTCTTTCTCTTTCTCTCCCATCAATATATCTCTTTTCCTACTCTACCCTCTCTCTCTCTCTCTCTCTCTACCTCTTTTTCTCTCTACGTTATCCGATGTGTCAACCCCATCGTTTGCATGTTGTAAGATTGCAACATTGAGAGGGATTTCTGAGAGTATGGTATTCGAAAACCACATAAGCCGGGATAACCACACCATAAGCAGCTGCTGCCACTCACTTTGTATCATTCATGTTGTATTCAATCACTATACAGGTAGGTGCAGATTTAGAAAATGTAATCCCTTAGTAATGAAAATTATTCATTCATTGCTTCTTCACTCATTTGATCTCTCCCTAGCTCTTCTGATAATCTAGCTTTGACTTTTTTTCTATGTAATCTATGTCTCTTTAATAAACATAGCTCATTCCCATCAGAATAACTTGAGGTCTTGGGCAGGTAAACTGAAATAAAAAAAAAGGGCATATTCCGCATACTAAATTTGTTGTTGGTATGTTGTTATCCTTTGTTGTCTTTTCTGTTTATAAAAATCGTATAAAATCCAACAATTGCATCCCGAATGTCTGTCTCGACCTTTTCTTTATAATGTTGTCACACACCGACTATCTATTAAAGTGCTTGGATTATATCAAATCTGTTATTCTTAAGATGGGTATAGAGATGAATAATAGAGCGACGAAGTAAAACCCTAGTGGGGTTGCAGTGTTATCGGGTACATTGTACATGATGGTAGTCAATGTTGCTGGCAGTGAAGATGATTCCGTTTATTCAGATAAATGAATGAACCCTAATCAAATTTAATCCAGCTGTCAAATTCCCTTGGCTCCATTTATATTTAATTCAATCTCAATTTCGTTTTCGAAATGAATTGATTAATCGCGACAGAATTTCTCTTTTAAAACTTGTCGAGACAGATGAAGAAGGATCACGGATATTTCAAAGCAAGTTTTCACCGGAGAATGTGAAATATCAGCATGATTTCAAAAATCCTTTTTGTTAAGAAATCTCGCTCATAACGTTGCATTCTATGTTTCATCTTTACGAAGAAAAAAAACAGGAGTCAGAAGAAGTCTCACCTAATATTGAAAAGAAATGATATGCTCCTACCTTTGTCTTCTCCGATGAATTTGTATCGAATTCATGTTTCTCTTGAATAATTTCTAAATTGACATCTTAGATGCAGCCCTCACACTTACTGTCAAATGCAACCATGATTCTATTTACTCAATTTGAGCACAGGGGAAATAAGGCAGAGACTCGTTAAATATGGCGAGTTAAAAATTCATTTTAACATTTAGAATCAACCCCGCGCAATGGGGCCCGGCGTGGTTTCGAGGCTGCATTAATGGGATTCCGCATTTTCCATCTAAATTAATGAGTATAATATTATACAAAAATGAAATCTTCTTTTCTGTAAAAATCTCCTGAAGCTGACATTACATAGCTATACTTAAATCATTATTGCGCCCCTCCCGTGATCCGTTCTTTAAAGATAAAGTTGAGTTCTGGTCATGTGATTGCATTGTGAAAGAAACGGTGTGGAATCTATCAGAAAAGGTTGATCATCTAGTATAAAAGTATTCGTGTGTATTGCAAGGTTCTGGAATCATCAAAATGATAAGAAATGTGGCCAAATCTTGGCAAAGTTACAAGCACTGTACACAGAATGATGTATATGGGACTACACGAGCACATGGCGAAAAAAAACCTACCCCCCGATTTTTACGATGTTCATGTCATATTTAGAATATGAAGGCATTTCTAGAGCCATGCTTTTCAGGGAACATGTTTAATGTGATGTTCTTCCACCCTTGCATAATAACAATGATAACGCTCACAACTTATCTTTTTACCTCTTCCCAGAACTCAACCTTCTCTTTAAATTGCCCAGATTGCTGATGTTTTATAATAGACAACCTTTTTGATTGCTATGGGCAGGAGCTTGTTGAAGATGTAGCCTGTTTGACAATATACAGTTAATGAATATAACACCAACAAAATAAAACAAGCAGGAGTAGTATTATAACAATAACATATTGTGTACAATATTATATAGAATTTAAATTCATAATTCACACAACAATGCTCAAAATCGTTATTATTTGGTGTTTCGCTCACAAAATATTCACCACTCTTCTAACAAAACATAATTCTGGCCAATTTATTACGATATTTGAACTAAATAGTATTAAAGGGATAGTTGAGTTCTGTTGCAGAGGGCGCTACACAAATGTTTTTTTTTGTGAGATAATGAAAAACTGAGTGTCAAATTTGAAAGAACATAATATTGAAATGACAAAATCATCTTTGATCAAAATCG